AAATTCTCGAGATACCCACATTATGGTATAAGAATTTGTTTCTAGGAAGCTTAAAATGTAAGATAAACTTAATATAAAAAAGAAAAAAATTGGAGATGCATTGGCATTGGAACAAATATAGTATATATGCTTACTGGGTTTGTGGGATGGGAATTGGTTTCAATGTTCTTGGGTAGAGACAGCACAATAACTTAGTAATATAATTGCCTCGGTTTATTGGTCATTTGGTCCCTAGCTTTCAAGGCATTAGTTAATTAGATATATTCCTTGAGAAGAGAATACTTTCGTTTTTCAACTTAGAAGAGTCTAAAGAATATAGCAAGAGGGTTAGAGGAAATTTGCCAGAATCTGTCCACAATCCAATCTATATAGCAGTGTCACGTCTAATTATAATTATTAAAAATATAAAATATGATATAATTTATCATATAATTATTATTATTTTTATGTTAATTGCATAATGTGAAGTAATTTATTTTTATTTTTTATTTTATTCCACTCACATGTCATACGATTTGAATTTAAGATTTTTTATTTTCATTAAAAAAAATTATCACTGAATTACTTAAATTGTTAATTATATAATTATTATTAAAGATCTTAATATTTTAAATTTTAACTTTTCATTTCTTCTTACCATGAAGAATAACTTTAATATAACCTGACCTAATTAATTAATTCCCATAAAAAGAGTGACCGCAAAACCTAAGAATAATCATATTTTAAATTAAATTTACTACAAGTAATTGTTTTGTGTTTTGTCTTTGATTAAGTTGGCAAAATCCCCGGTGAAATTACACACGGACTGTATGGAAAGAGAGAATCATGAGAAGAATCATGAGAAGGTTATTTTAGTTTGTACTCAAATAAAAATATGGTAAGTACCTGACCCTTGAGATTTAGTAGTATTAGTCACTGCTGCATTCTTCCGGTAAAGTTTGAAACCGTACCTTGCAAAATATGTTAAAAAATAAAAATAAAAATATGGTATATTGAAATGACACAGTTTCGGCCGCCGTTCTCATATTTTTACTTTTACCTTTTTGAACTGGAGAAGGGCATTGGTTCAGTTTAATTATATAGTATTGAATTAATTTTTTACTCTAAATTAATTTTCTTATCCAAATTTGAGTCCACACCTTTATTCACAATTATAAATTGAATTAATATCTTATTCTATATCCCTAATTTGTTAATTTGTGGGTTTCACACACCTTGGGTTAAATTTAAATTACTAATTAATAGTTTTTAAAAAAAAAAATAATTAGGTATTTATTAAAGATTCTTTAAAGATAATAAGAGTATTTATTGAGGAATTTTTTTAAAAAAAGAATCCATTTAATATTTAGTTAATAATATTAGAAAAAAATTTGTTGTTACAACTTTTATATAATTAAGATTAAGATTATAACCACTTTATATAAAAGAAATTGAAGATGGCAAATGTCCATTACACCATGGCCATATGATTTGTGACTGTAGCTACTTTTAGGATCCATCTTTGATTGTTTGAGGTTGAGATATCGTTCAGTTAGAAAAGAGAAAAAGGGATTTGGAAGTAGAGGCTCCAACCAATCAAATTGACATAATAAAAGTCAGTGATCATGACTCTTAATTTTTAGATTTCACACAAATAAATGTTCCAAAAGAAAAGCTATAGATCCAAACCAACTCTGTTGAATCTAGTTATCCAAAATGGCCAATTCTTTCATATCATCATTTGTTTAAGTTGTATGGTTGTTAAGAGTGGACTGCTTAACACAACAGATGAGCCATTCAATTCAATTTAATTTTCTGCGTGGAGGAAGCGGATAGAGGCAATTAAAGGGACATGTATATAGGGAGGGGCTAAATGCCCTTTGGTCTTGGTATATTTATGTCTGTACCAACCCAAGTATTGTATCCCTCCAGGCTCCAGTTAGGGCATCCAAACTTTGGAACATTCTAGGACCATTGCATTTAGCCTTAAAATAAAGGGGTGAATGCATGGAGGTCCATTTCTAATGTTTATCTGGCTTGCATCCATCTGGCCCTGGCACATAATCATCTGAACACTACATATCCTACTCATCCTCCATATCCTACTCATCCTCCATATCCTTGACAATGTTTCTCCAATAATAAAAGACACTGCCCAAATGTAGGGCTGCACCCTACACTACAAGACATTGAAAGTGTTGAGAAAATGGCTTTGGGGGGGTCCCTCATTTATGGGGGATGCTGAGCCTACAGCTTTGAATGCGTGAGCTGGCCAAAGCACATGCTGAGCTAAAATGGGTGCAAGAGAGAGGAAGA